TGGGGACAACCTTCCTCTTGACCTTCTTGAAGAAGCCGGTCTCGGCGTCGTTGAAGTAATGTTTCCTCATGGCGAAGGACTAAACAAGAGGAGACACTTCACTCAGCGAGTTTTACACTTTGTGCACTCACAGTCAGACTGTGACATTTAAACACAGCTGATTATTTAAAGGATGATTTTTTAATGTCTGTAACTTCTAACAGAACAGTCTCTGGTTACTTTGCAGACAGACAAACATCCGCTGCTCTTAATCAGATTTATACATGATGCATGGAATAATGACCCACAGAATAAAGAATACGGAGGATGTACTGAGGGGAAATTTGACGCCCTCAAGCACAGGGTATAAATGTTTAGGTTAAAGGTCAAATTCTAGCTTAAACTGAAGGGGCTCTCACCTGTCGGGGAATGTACTTCCCGTTCTCTCTGAGGATGCGGCTGCGCATGAGCACCTGGCTGAACAGAAACATGAACATGGGAGCGGTTAGGGTACGATGCTGCCCGGGCGCCACCTTCACTTCAGACACACAACATAACTGCGAGGAGAGATCAAGCAGGGATCATAACAGGTCAGATATGAGCTGAGCACCTGAAGGCAAACAGTGTTAACTTCAAACATTCTTCTTGTCTACCAGTCTGATAAGTAAACATGGACGTAAGACACAATAAAGAATCCTGTAAACAGACAGGTTTTCTTATGAGTCCAAACTCAGCAGCTCTATCAAAGCTTAACTGCGTAAAAACGAGGTAAAAGGTAACGATGGACTCCCTCCCTCTGTTCTTTGTTACTCCCTCGACCAGTGAACGCAGCACGGGTCAAGCTGCGTCTCGGTCCTGACACGTTGTTGATCTGCAGCTTATGTAATGGTTATATTTGCCAGCTAAAAGGGAAACAGGTTCACCATGACCTCTGTGAAAAACAACACAACAAAACCCCCAAAACGTTTTACTGCCGAGAGGTGAAAAAAAGAAGAAGAGGTGAAAATTCCAATATATATGATCAGGATGCTCAGCAAATCGCATTAATACTCTTATGTGACTGATGTACTGCAATATAATTATATTACTAAATCTGCTGGACTCAGTTCTCTAAAAAAAGAAAAAAACAAAGCTCTGATGTGTGTGTGCTCTCAGACTCACCTGTCAGAGACCTGCTCCAGGTTGACTTTCTTGTCGCTGTGGAGCAGCTGGGTGACATAGTGTCGGATGACCCCAACAAAGAAGGTGACGAACACGATGGGCAGGACCACCCACATCCGAATGCTGGAGTCCAGCAGGAGCTCCGGACCGGCCATCGCTCTCTATTTAACCCACGATCCAAGGACAGACAGGGAGGCGCTGAGGAAGGTGTACCGGACAGTTTGGAGGAGGAAGTACAACATGAAGTGATGCTCAGTGTTAAATCATTTTACTAAATTATGAAAACCTGAACCTCAGCATGCAGAAATAAAGACTCTCCATAGTATCTTGAGGCTCAACAGTTCTTATTTTATCAGCATGAACTATGACACATGACACATGTGAACACATGCTGAGCTGCTCTCTCCTGGTTTGTTTCAAAATAAGAGCCTGGAGAGAATGAGCAGAGGGTATTTTTACCCTGACAATAGCACGATACAGCGGCTGAAAGCTTCTGCACGTCACCGCGTTTCCGTGATCGACACGTCACTAATAATTACTCTTGTTGTTGGACAATGATTACAAATCGCTCCGACTCCTAAAATAAATTATATGAATTAAATCCGCCGCTGACCTACCGGCAGCTGAAACGTCACGATAACTGCTGTTTCCTTTAACGGAGGTGCTAACTACAGGAACCTGTTACTGACCGCTGACCTCTGCTCATTCATCGCTCAGCGGCTACAGTTAGCATTAGCCCGGTGTAAACTAAACGCAAAGACAGCTAACGGTGCTAGCCTGCTAACTCAGCGAGTTACTCGTGTTAAATCTTCAGCTTTAAATGAGCGTTTGTACACAGTGACAGCTTCTGCGGCCGCACAGGTGAGTTTAACAAGTCCACCAGGTCACCACTGCGTGAAAATAATCTGTAATTTATGTTGAAATGACCGTAACTCACCACATTTATGAACTTTGTTAAACAAACTGCACAACGCACACGCGCAGTAGTTAAAAGAAGAACTTCCGGTTTACCGGAAACGGAAGATTATTATTTTATATTTTCAAAATCAATTAAAAAAATAAATAAATCAATAAATCACATAAAATGTAAAACATTTTTTAAAAATCTTCATTAAAATGTTAAATAAATTAATCATTCTTGAAAAATGGGCCAGACTGAGATATTTAGATAAAGTTGAAGGTTGTTGAAAGAATAAAAAATATAAACTGCCTAAAATAAATAAATACAATAAGAGAACACAACATTTTATGATGTTTCCACTAAGCATTGTTAAAACCTTTTGTTCTCAACAAATTACACAGTGCATTTCTGTAAGGCTTGAATATTTATCAAGAGCCAATATGTGATTTAAGTGTTCCTTTAATTCTCTGAGCAGTACATAATGCTTAATACAAAGTTGTAATCGGTCGATTGTTTCTTTGCTGTAACAATGCTTCCCGCATATAAAAACCTGTTTACTTCCCCTTGAATGGCGCCATATTTGTGAGGATGGTGCATGTGTGGGTTGAGCAGCAGTGTTGAGTTTGTGGGTTGCACCCATGAAAAACACATCTTCTCTGCCACAAATGTGTCACCATTTAAGGGGAAATTAAGAGTTTTTCCGATAGTATAAGATTTATTGCCAAGAAATGTTTGACCAAACACAAATTTCCTGTTTTTGTGCTAAGATTATTTAGACTATGTAATTTAGTTATCTGAAAAAGGCTTCACACAGTTCACGTTTTTTGGTAAATTTCTGTGTGAGAACCATTTTTCACATTAAAAGCATACATACGCTGTGCTGATGAGAATATTGATGATAATACACACAATGCTGGGTGGACTGGAGGTTAGGTTGTTACAACAAAAAGAAACTGGACTGTCCATGTGTGAACTGTAAAACCATGAGAGGAAACCAGTTTTCAAATCCATATGCAGGCAGATGTTGGGGATAGATCCTTATGTAGATCCACACATTTAGTGTCTTCAATTTCTCTCCATACCTGGGAGACTGTCGCAGGTTGGATCCTCCTGTCACTGGCTTGATAAGAAGAATTACAAGCTATAAATAAGAATTACGCTCAGAAACACTGACGAAAGCCACAAACTGAAATGCATCTTTTTCTCTCTGTTCCTATGAAATATTAAAAGTATAATCAACCACCTGGTCTTAAGGAGGCAGGAGCTAAAATGCTTCTTTTATGGAGTAAAAAACAGGACACTAAACAACCCACAATGAGGAAATTTCATTCTCGTTATTTTCCGATATAGAAGGCTGGCGAGCACCTACATCACCATTTATGTAGGAATTTCTGTATTTTATTATTTTTACCAGCTTCTGATGGGACTCTTAATGTGATGTGACTTCTATAGGCAGCAACAGATTTACAGTTTTATGATGAAGTCTGATGAAGATTGTGATTTCCACCCGCTGTAATGCTGAAACAGCACTTGAATGAGAAATCAGTGAAACAAAGAGGACACGTGTTTCCATCCACATGAACAGATTTTTATATCTTTAGAGCAATAAATATTTCCACTTCTTCCATTTCTCTGCAATTTCAAAAACAAAGTACAAGTAATATATATTTATATACACAGCTAAAATTTTCCATACGTAATTTTTAAAATAATGTCGTCTCTGTTGACACATATTTGACACTTTACTCGTACAATTTTACAAGGACTATTCCAGTCTCTCTTTGCTCTACATTATAAACAAGAAATACGTCCTCTCCAGAAAGCGGTCCAGCAGCTTGGACACGCCCCCCGTCCAACGCCATTGTATAGATGCACACAACACAGACTGTCTTTACACAGGAACAGAATCATCCAACATTTTTTAACTGTACTTGAAGCAGATCTGATGTGCTTTGAATCTTGAAAAATGTTCCCTGTTTGCCTGCTGCAGTCAGACCAGATCTGTTTCTCCAGGTGTTTAAAAAACATCAGACCTTCCATTCCCGGTGCAAACCCAGCCACAGACAAACTGAGCAAAGTGAGTACTCGCAATGTTATTTTCATTTAACGGCTGCTATGTACATTCATGTTATAATACAGTTTCATTCAGTGCAGATACTGTAATAAATACCACATGCAAACCGATAGTGGAGAGCAGACCCGGGCGGGAGAAAAAGACCTAATTTAAGCGTTTAAAGGACCATACCTGCTTTTTTTCTGCATGTTCTTAAACTGGATTTACTGTAAATTACTTTCACAAGAGTCCCGACGCAGTTTAAGCAGATTTGTGTCCTCCCAGACTGCAAGTTCATGTCTTCACAGACACTTGAATCCTGCTGCAGATAACTAATCAACCACAGTGAGTTTTGTTCTTATCTCTTGCGTGTAAGAATTGACAGCGACCTGACAAAAGTGTTGCACCGACGGCCTCCGATGGTAGCAAAGCAATCCAAGAACTAACAAGAAAAGTGGCCTTGAAACACGAAGAAGCAGATTTTGGCCTAATCCTAACCCACAGACACTTGGCACATGGTGGGCAACGGCTCGCCAGGAAGCCAGGACGTTTATATGTCACCGGTTACTGTTTTGGTCCACAAAGACTAAATCTGGGGTTCTCACAGTTTGGATGACCAAGTGGCAATTTAGAAAGAATTTAGAGAGCACACAGTTTAAGGCAGTAGAGGCAAAATCTAGCAAAACACGAGAGAAATCTAATCTGACACCTGCAGGTGACACAGCAGTCCGGCAGTGTAACTATTATAGGCTGTTTCCAGTCATGCCTGCCATGGGGCGAATAGACAGTAATCAACCTGTAGTGTATATATATATATATATATATATATACACACATACACACACACACATATATATATATATATATATATATATATATATGTATATATATGTATATATATACTTTTTAAAATGTCTTTATTTTTTACTGTGGACCTGTTGTAAAACAAACCCAAACAACTGAAATTTCTATAGCAGAAAGTGAAGAAACAGGAACTTTACAATCATTTCTCTGTTTCTTTTATGTGATTGCTCTGGTATAGTGGGAATGGTCTGGCCCCTGGGCCTTATTAGATGTTACCAGTGATGATTTATCTGCAGCAAGTGTCAAGTTCTCTGCAAGTGAAACTTAAACCGAACAGTGGACGTAGGAAGGTAACAAATCTCAACATGGTGGTGCCGTAACACAAAGTAAATACGGTTTGAAGTTCATAAACATGCAAACGAGGGGTACGGAGCTTTAAGATGGGATGTTTACTGAGGATGTGCTTGGGCATGCACTGAGACTGAGTGAAATGCTGTGTATTCCCTTACGAGGTAGGTTTGATCCAGTGCTCCTCGAGAACTTTGTTTTGATGTTTCTGTGGTGTTTGCCGCTTTAGTCTGGAGTCGGCGTGGTTACTGTAAGGCCTTTAGAAAGAGACAAAGTCTTTCTGCAGGTGATTGTAGATGCATGCTATGGCCCTACGGTCCAAAAATTCTTAGCAGCTCAACATGAAGTGTTAATTTCAATGTTGTTTGATAGCAGAGGTGTTGCTTGTTTCCATTAAAAGGGTGAAGAGAGGCTTTGTGATGATTCAGAGGTGTGCAGGCGTGTGTTTGCTTGAGCATGCTGTGGGTTGAGTCAAAGTAATTATCACAGTCTATAATCAAAATATTAGAAGAACTTGTATGTCAGTTACAGAAAATCATTATTGTTTGTTTTTTTAAATATATTAAAATTAAAAAGGATTGAATACTTCCATAAGATGCCCAAATCAGAAAAGAAAAAAAATCTCACATTATAAGCACATAACAAAATTAAAAATGCTAAAAATACAAAGCAGCCCAAGGAGTACAGTATGTTAGTAGAAGCTTGCCACACAACAATATTGATAATAATATCAGTAGCACGCTCTAAAAAGTCAAAGGGGTTCTTCAGATTGAAAACAACAGGGAACCCAAGATGGTTCCCTGAGGAACGCCGTCAAACGATTCCAATATGTGACTGTATTCCCACAAACCTCGCACACTCAGGGCTTTACTGTGCTCACTAAGAAGCCCGACTAGCCCGAAGAACCCAGATGAACTTTGGTTTTTAGAGCACACGTTTTGTTAATCCAAACAATTCTGAACCTCAGTTACAGATCGATGCTGTTGGCCCCACTGAAAACAGAACACACTGTACAGTTAATATCTACAGTTGGTGCATTCACGTCATCACAGGGAGACTAAAAATATGTCATTAATGTTTGCATTCAGAGGAATTTCCCATCATCCACCAGTTAAACTCTGGCAAATATTTATATGAGGCTGACTAGCAACCAACACTGAAAGTTTCATTTCTAGTCAAAAAATGCAAATGGCTGGTAAAATCGTTCAAGTGGTGGAAGAACTTTCTACCAGCCATCACGGGCCTCCTGCCCTGACATCCGGTGAGACTGATTAAAGGAAGAAAGGAAATACACTTCAATACTGGCATGGTAGATTTGAACTCAAAGTGCAAAAATGTGTAAAAATGAGTTTGTTCAAGAAGATTTCACTCGGTGTGACACGGAAACATGTTCTGCACTTCAGTCCTGTGAGATGTTAGCGAGTCCTTCGAATGAAATTCGGTCCAGGTTTCAGGCTCCTTTGTGTCTTTGTTGGATGAACAAGGCGACGAGCGGCTCAGTCCTTCAGCCAGACTTTTAAAAAATGCAGTAAATGGCTTCGATTTGCTGTTTTGAATGGACACAAATCATTATATTATTGATTTAGACGCTGAACTGTCTTTTGTGAACATTATTATTTATATTGTACCATCACTATGTCTGAAGGCACCTTATTCTCTATTTTGCCACACATCGAATGGGATTAAAGTTGATTCACCCTCCGAGTTTTTCACACGCTAACGCAGTTTGGACTGGGTGGGAAATTAACCCTTATTTTCCATTTATCATATTTTCTCAATTGTTTCATATCTTAGTAAAATAATAGAGAGTTTCAAACCACTGCTGAGAACCCAAGTAAGTGCAGAGGTGAATCTGAGATCATCTGGATGAGTAGGTTCTTATTTATTTGAATAAAGCTTGCTCCTTGTTGCCAGTGTTTTCTACCCATTACATATGAAGACAGGCGTAGGTGCTGAAGCGCCTTAAATCCAATTGATTTCTGACGGCAGTCAGTCAGAGGGCAACTAGTCTGGTTACAAAACAAAGGCCGGCTGTATCAAGTTTATTGGAAAAACACCCTTTGACCCACTTGTCTGAACCTTAGTAAAGACTAACCTGAGTTGCTATATTTAATTCTATGACTCCGTCACACTGGAATAAAACTGGGACTGCAACCTCCTTATGGGAGGCCACCTGTCTCCAAACAGTTGCAGTCCGGCTCAGACTGACTGGTGAAGGCTTGTACAGAGACATGTTAATCAGTCCGAGTCAGCCCGTCCTGATAGGCGTACATATTCTGCATCTCTGGTGGCGGTTGCATTCTGGTTAAGCTCCTACACCCGTGTTATTCTGGAGTTAAATCGTCACCCTGCAGCACTACGTCACTACTTGTGAAGGAATTTCTGTTTCAAATCAATGAGGTTCGACTGTAAGGATTTCATGTGAACTTCTGTGTCTGTCGATGGCAGCAGATTTGCACCGATCACAAACAGATTGCATGTAAATGCCTCATTCAGTCACAGACTGGCAGCAGATCGATAGCAGACCGACTCGTCATATTGCATTTTTATCGATATCTCGATGCACCAAAGTTGCTGTGACGATGGCAGCTAGAGACCTGGCCCCCATCTTTGAAACAACCACTTCAAAGGCAACAAGGTCACAAGTGGTGGTGCCACAGGGTCTTTGCCCTCCTCTTCTGCTAAGTGCCAAAGCTAAAGCAAAGTCTTAACCCTTAAACGTGCCTTTAAAGAGTTGTAATAAAGAAAGCAGGGCAAGAGGAAGTTCTGATAGTTTAAAAAAATCCAGTCTGATTGTCTAAATCGTGTTTATTACAAATGAAACCTGGCGAGTTTTATTGAATTTCATTTCACTGTCGTCTTTGGTTTGTTGTGACAAATGACTTCAGTCACTCACTCGTGCAGTTAAACACACAATCACACATCATGAGTCTGTTTATAGCTGCCAGCTTCTCAAATCAATAACTTTATGATCACCTGCATGCGATGAGTTCAGGGGATGTCAGTAATTTAAAATAAAAAAAGTACTCTCCTGAAATAATCTAAATAATATCTGTCTGTGCATCTAAAGACAATCACTCGTATTTATTTTCTTTACGGCTCCTAATCCTGATTTCAAGGATCTTTATCTGAAGATGTTTAACATAATTTAGCCTCATCAGTGATCGACGTTCTGCTGTGAACCAAAACAAAAATGAAACATTTTAAACGTTTGGTACGTTGTGATGAAGATTGATTATCAGAATTATTAAACGAGTCTTGCGTCAAAATGTTGGTTTCGTAAAGTAAATCCAAGCCTTTAATTTCCCACCCAGTTCTGTTAAGATGATAAGTTAGAGAGAGAGTTACACGTTATTTAACCTGAACAGTTGCATCACTTCGTTTAGGTACCGCAGCTCTCATTTGCCTGTCCGGCAGCTTTGGGCCCAATCTCCGTCTGTGGCAACGTAGAGGGTCACATACAACATGGAGCATGAAGTACAGCTGAAAGCTGCAGTGTTATATTATCTGAGTATATCATAATTTGTGACAAATTCAGGCTTATGCTTTCATATATACTTAATAACAAGGGAGAGCATTCACAGGTTTAGCACAAATGATCAAATAAATCCCCGTTACATGAGGAAATAATTGGGAATTTCTTTAAAGTCCCAATCCAAAACAACAGCGTAGCAGTCCCTGCTGAAACCCTGTAATCCACAGACGCTAAAGGCTTTTAGTTATTTTTGCAAAGGTAAAAAGACACCTGGAGAGTTTGTTATGATGGCTTATTTAAAGGTTTTAGAAAGTTTATTGTCCACCTAGACGGTCAAGTGTTCCGTATTCTTCACTTCTTATGGCCAAATAAATGCTGGATTGGGGCTTTAAATCACAACAACTCCCTCCCCCTGCATATAGAAGTTTAACCACAGTCACACTGACACTTATTAGCTATTGCACAGGTCATGCATGCCTGTCTAAGACACAGAAACTGCACCATATTAACGCTAACCACCTCTGCTTGTCCGTAACGCCTCATGGCTTGTAAATATGTCAACAACCAAAACAAGAGAGCTTTTGTGCGGAAAACAAGGTGGTGTAAGACGACTGCGTTTTTTGGAAAACGCGACCCGGACTCGCTTCGTTCTCCGCTCTCTGTACATTACGTCAGGCGTAATCCTCGGGTGTATATTCTCAGGCACTGTTCCCTTCACGTCTGGTCCCTGAACCGTTTTTTTCCACAACAGCACACAAATTCCTACGATGTGGCACGAACACTTCCCCTGTCGATGAAGAACTACAAATATGTCCTCCCAGCTCACCTCTGAAGGGCACTACGGGGGGAAGATGAGGACGTTTTCACCAAGACATCGGGACAATGTGGGTGTTTTCATCTTCACGTGACTGAAAACGGCATGATTCACGTTCGGGATGCTTTTCGCTCCGCGAGCAGCTTTTTCTGGGAGGATGTGCTCCCTGTAAGAAGCATCCGTCAGTGTGTGTGCGTCTTTCTACCTGCGGGGGAAGTGGATGTGGAAATAACACAGGCTGAGAAGTTTCCTCTTCCCCGCTCTCACCGCTCTCCTCCTCACCAGGCGTCCGCTTTCATACGGCTGCATTTGTCCTCCCCCTCCTCCACCTCTCCTCCTCCCTCTCCTGCTCACTACCACCCCCCGGCGGCTCACTGCAGGGTGACGCGCCACTGTCCTAGACTTCTGCCTCCTCACACGACCGTGCTGATCCGGCTGACGGGCTTGGATTTGGGGCCGCCCCCTTGGCTGCCCCCCACCCCCGGGGGGTGCGGGGAGAGCGGGGCGGTTGACGGGGGAGGCAAGGGTGAATGCGGCGGGGGAGGCGGGATGGACGAAAGCGGTGGGTACTGGGGGGTATATGGTTTCGGAGGCGTCTGGGTGACGAGGCGTGCTGAGGGAGTCTGGGGCGGCGGGGTGGAGAAGATGAAGTGGGTGGAGGGGGAGGCGGACGGGGACGGGCTGAGCGGGGAGTGTGCGTGCACGGCGTGGTTGTGAGAGTGTGTGTGAGCGTGGGGGTGGGGCTGCGAGTGCGAGATGGTCAGCGGGAGCTTGGCCCCTCCACCTGGCCTCCCCGCCGCGGGGTGCGAGTGGAAGAGTCCGTGTGGGGTAATGGGGGTGACAGGGGAGTGCGGGGACAGCGGCGGCGGCGTGGTGAAGCCTGACGCCATGTTGTAGCGCGGGTGCGGAATGATGACATGTTGCATCCTCTGATGCTGCTGGGTATGAGAGGGAGCGCAGCCGGACGGGCCTTGCCGTCGGGGTGCGGAAAACCTGTGCGAGAGGACGTGGTGCTGCGGCACGCTCTGCATGTGGTAGCGGTGATGGTGATGGTAAGGTGGGGGTGGTGTCTGCTGCTGCTGGTGCCCAGTAACACTGACTCCGCCTCCTCCACTGTTGGCGTGGCAATACTGGGCGTGCAACGCTTGGAGCTTGGATTGTGCCCCTGCCGTACCGCCTCCCCCTCCAACTCCTCCCGAGTCCGACTGCCCGAGGTTGGGCGATGGGGAGGGGCATGGGGAAGGGGAGGATGGGTGGGCGATGGGAGGCGCGGGGGCGGGGTAGTGGGGGGGTGATGATATCATCAGGGGACTCGGGGGACCCTGTGGAGGCGGTGAGGTCATCGTCAGGGGACCAGGAACTTTGCCTCTGCGACTGCCGAAGAAATTCCCTAGTCGGCCTCCGCCAGTCGGTCCGCCCCCTGCCGGCATCCCTCCGCCGCCCCCAACCCCTCCCCCGCTCGCGAGTGGGGAGGGGGTGACCCCTCCCTGGTTGTGACAGAGCCCCGGCCCACCCCCCACCCCCGTACCGGGGCTCTGAGTAGGGCGGTGTGGCCGGTAGGCTGCTGGAGATGTAGGAACCATGATAGGGCTGTAGGAAAGACCTCCATCAGGCAGAGGGCGCTGCTGGTGAGGCCGGGGGCTGCTAATAATGGAACCCTGAGAAGAAAAGAAGAAGAGTTTAACATACTGGGTCAGCATTTACCTCAGATTCTCACAGACCATCTCATCTTTCTGATGGAAAAAAAACCTTGACATGAATCATGCAGATTTTAGGACAAACGTGCAGAAGAATCACGGAAGAGGTTAAAAGACAATAGAAATGCACACACTGAGCTCCTGAAGGTAACGTGTCTGTAACGTGCTTTTCTGCCACAGAGGAAAGTAATTATTGATGACTGAAAGATAGATCACGAAGGCCTGTCAATCAAAGCAGATAATTGAAGTGTTAAGACGTAACTAAATCCAAAGGGACGAGCGTCTAAAGAGCCTCAAGTGGCCACTAGAGGAACAGCAGTTTTGCGTCTTCTTTTCAGTCTTGTAATCCCAAGGACATAAGCTCCCTGAACTCGAAGCTCTGACCAGGATATTCTGATTCACAAAGCTGTCAGTCATCCTTAAATCAGCTGACTGATTCTAACAAGCGATTGAATTATTTTAACATTTTCAAATATGCCTTATAGGAGCAACTTTACATTTTATTCTTCACTTCATGTTTTGCTTATTTCACAGAAAAGGCCTCAGTACTCAAGAGAACTTTAGAGAAAGGCTGACCCATCCTATTTTGAGGTAACACGGTGGCTAAACTCTGAAATGAAAAAGGGACATGAATACAAATGAAGCCATGTTTCAGCGCTCACGTCATACGTGCACAAATATTTTCACAAACACAAGTTATGAATCAGACAAACATGCATCAGCAGGGTGTGTGACAGACGGCATGCTGGGAAGTCATGTCCCGCCCAACTTACTTCGATGGTACTGTCCAGTGACCCCACACTGTTCCTACGACCCCGCTTCCCTGTCACCCAATCAGAATGAGGCAGGTTAAAACGTGGTTTCACATGCATTCTTCACTCAGTAAACAGTTTTTTCCACTCTTTGATCTGTATGATGTCATGAAAAGGGAATACCCTTATATGGGCATCACCTACACTTTCTTCCTGCTGTTCAAACGTTTTATTAATGAGGCTGACCAGCCTGATATTTACATACTTAAATATTTGTGCATCAGTGCTAATTAACAGAAGGGTGCATTACTTGTATTGGCTGATTAAATCACAGCAGTAAACCACACAGTTTCCACAGTAACGTTTTGCATTTTCATGCTGTAGTTCCCACAGTTATCCAGCAGGTGGAGACAGAGCACCACAGCATCACATCAAACTTCCATCTTACAGGCATTTTACCATTTTAGATTTCATCAGTTGCATAAGAGCACAGGTTTGCTCTGACTCGATACATCAGACTAAAAACCTGGAGCTGCAGAACTTCTGTCGCAGAACAGGCAGAGCGAAAACCACACACATCTGTAACATGTGAACAAGGCGAGCCTCGCATCGTACACCTGTCCTCACCTGTCTCTGAGAGGTCTCTGAGCGACGAGCTGAGTGCCGTGCGCTTGAGTCCGTCCACTGTTGCGTACGTGTCGTCGAGGCTCGGCCTTCCCAGGGTACCGTTCACCACCTCACTCTTTAAGGTTCCTCCACCACTGTTTGCCCCGCCTCCTTGAGTGCCCATGCCTCCCGGTCCTCCGCCTGTCAACATGCCAGGACGCATGACGCCTTTCTGCTTCTCGAGCTCAGCTGAAAGGAAAAAGGAAAATCAGGAAAGCTGTCATTAACAACAACTCGCTGGATCGCTGTTCACTGCAGATTTGGAATCTACTGCTGGTGAAGTCAGGCGTGGAGGCTTGAAAGGCAACACATGCAGGCTAAACGATGCATTTATAACATTGAAATATTTGAATTTGCACATAAATAACTGAATTATAAGGCTGGAGCCGCAGTGTCAGCACTAAATGTCACCCATCTATTTTCTGCCCCTTATCTTGGGGTGTGGGCAGTCCTAAGCAGAGATGCTCTCCCTGTCAGACATCAGAGTGTTCTCAGCTGGACATGCCTGACACCCCTCAGCTAGGACGCATGGAGGAGGAATTCGATGTGTAGGAGGAGCAGCTCTTTCCTAAATACCGAGCTCCTCACACTCTACCTCTAATTAAGAACCCAGAAGTACGCCACTCATATTCTTCTGCTCACTAGCCGCAGCTTGAGTCCACAGACGAAGGTCTGAATGTAGATCGATCGGTAAACCGATAGCTCAGCTACCTCTTCACCACAACAGGCAGGTACAGCATCGCTGCAGACACCACACCAATCAATTTGTCAATTTCCTGCTCCCTTCCTCTCTCAGTAGTGAACAAGATTGAGATACTTGAGCTCTTCCTCATCCTGAGGGAGCAACTCATTCCTCGGTTGCTGAAACCAGCAGCAAAAGAACTTCAGAAACCCGGACGGTCCACGCTGATACTGGGAGGTGTTGTACTCGCAGACATATGGATGCTAAATGCTAAGATGAGTTGACAGATATAATTGTTTGGCTGTTAATATATGTGAGCAGCCTGCCAAAGTGAAGTGTGTGGGAAGTTCTTCATATACCGTGACTGCAATCAGCCTGAACTCATTATTAGCTGCAGTGAGCACAAATCCAGAAGAGAAAAGAAATGAGAAAACAGATTCTGAAAATAGTCTCCAACGGCGCACCCTGTCCTAAGCCCCGCCCACCCCTCCCACAGTGCATACTCCAAATCAGCTCATGTGGAATTCAAACCCTCCAGACTCAAAGCTCTACTGGAACTCCTCCACTGTGTATGAAAGCACCTGTGATTGGTCTGAAGCCTGTGAGCAGAGCCCAGACGAGGGGCAGAAAAATGGTTATTTAAAAAAAAAATTTGTCCAATGAAGTGACTGTAATTAAATAGTTATTTGTTCCTGTGCAGCAGACACGCTCAAAGTAAAGTATCTGGTTCTGTCCCTGTAACGATCACCGCTAACAGCTACAACCACGTCCACCACAACCTTTGTGTCCACTGCTGGTTTCAGTACTGCTTTGTCTAATTATCCTTAATTTAAGGTCCCACTGAGCCTCCCACTGCTGTGACAGGGACACTTACACTCCACCCTGTACTTCTCCATTTCCTGGACCTCTGCGATGCTCTCTCGGAGGTCAGAGGTGAAGCGTGCCCGGTCCTGCTGGCTCGGAGCGTTGAAGACGATCAGCACCTTCCTCTCTCCTCCGGGGTTCGCGGACGTCAGCCGGATACCGTGAGGATAATCTGAGTGAAACACAACACAAAGACATTCAACCTCATTAGTCCTCTGATCTCTGGATGGTTGGGGGTTAGAAAGTGCCGCGAGATGATTGTTGATGAACTTGAACTGTAATAGTTTCCCAAAAAGTAAAAGGACCCCCAAATTTTGCAAACACCAGCCACTAGATGATTGTTAGCATTTGGCGCACCTGTCAGCAACATCCGGTTAGATTTGCGTCATGCTAGTGTAGCTCAAATGGTCTCAAAGTATTTAAAGAGGACATTTTGCCACGCCCTCTATTTTCGCTCTCCTCCTTTATGTTTGATTACATGATTGGTGGCGCGTACCCTGGAGCTGGGACGGCGTGCCACCAGCTCACCAGCACAATGTCATCTCTGCATCAGCAGTCAGTCCTGGTTCGGCCGTCTGTTGTTATCTCTGCTCATGAGAATTCAGTTTAATCGCTCATGTTTCCCTTTGTCTGCACTTCTTTTGGTTCACCCACCTCCAGTTTCCAGACCTGCTCTGTCCTTTCGATGCTCTTCCCTGCTTCATTCTAGCCCGAGCCCCAGCTTTGGTCTCAGTCTCAGGCTCTCACTTACAAATCCAAGCCTAACTCCCAGTTTTCCATCATCCATTTCTAGCTCCTTGGTATTTTCTCTGCTATGCTAACACCAGCCCAGCTCCTCACAGGCTCTTTGTCAGCGTCCTTGCCGTGTCTAATAAACTGTCCTTAACCTGTGTGGGGTTCAGACTGCCTCTTTTTCACGTTTTTTTGTGATATTTTTCTTCTGGTGTTGATAAATGGTCACAATATGTAAAAGAGAAAGTAATTCAAATGAAAAAGAAAATACCTGCAACTCAAATCTGAAGTGACGATTGTGGAGGCAAGAAAGACGCTGCAGCACGCCGGCGTGCTTCAGGGGGAGCAGAGTGTCTTTTATTCTTTTTTTGGATGTGGATATTATTTGGAGACACAGAGGCAGGTAAAGTGGCCTGCTGTGAACAGAACTCAGTGGCTGCAGTATAACATAAATAAGGTTTCCCTGCAGAGCTGAGAATAGGAATATAACTCAGATGAAGAGCACAATAACGCTCCCTGAAAGTAGAATTCATAGTAGGAGTCTAATCTAAGGGACATTTCATCCAGAAGGATGGATCCATTCAATTTTTTTAAAGGACTCTTTTGGCACTGATTTCCTTCCCTCAAATCCTTCCTCACATCTCCAAGCTCTGCAAATCAAACAGATGTAATGTACGCCTCATCGTGTATGGATGGAAAGCTGGAGGCAGACATGCATTAAAAGGAGGAGCTGGGGTGGAGGTGGGTTCCAAAGTGGCTTGCAGATGTGCAGCAACTGTATGCATTAAAGCGCGTTTTATGTTGTATTGTTTTATCTGCTTTGATTGACAGTTGTACAGACTCTAAACTTTGTTCAGTAATGAAACTGAAGTAATTTAACAGCCTGTACTTTGAAAATAATGAATTGGTATTTGGAGCAGTCTGTGTTATTTCAGTTTCATCAGAAAACAGTGTGCTGATCTCTGCGCCTCGCCCCTCCTCACGGGCAGCATTAATCTGATTGAGAAAATAAGATTTGTGTACACACACACGCAAACCTTCCTACCTGCCTCCCACGCGACGTGTGCACACACAAACACACGCACCCACGCGGCTGATGCATGACTGTGCTGATGAATCACATGGGACAATCTGTCCTGGTCGCAGTCATCAGCGCCCAGGACCCATTTAGCTCCAACTGGAGAACCAGAACTGTCAGCAACAAAAAGCACCAACTGAACGAGCTCCGAGGCGACACTGGAACGACCGACTTATACGTGACACGATGTAATGTGATGCAATCCAGTCAAATACAGCGTAAGGAACAGAAGACAGCTCAAAATATTATCATCTCTGTCTCACGAAACCTACAGCCAACAGTCTTCTTTCTTTTTCAGAAGGTGCCAAAGTTTAGTTTTAGCCATGATGATGCTGAGAAATAAAAGAAGGAAATCTTTATATCATGTGTTTATTAAGACTAGGATGTCATGGCTGTGAATCAGTTACCTTAATGTTCATCACAGCAGCTCATGAGACTGTCCAGTCCTGCTTTATGGCTGGAAATATCCGGATTATGTGAGAGCAAACCAGGAATCATCAGCTTTCTTACAGCTTTGGTTTGATTACTCCCCCTGGATATGCTTCTTGTCTCATACGGCTTTAAACTGATAGCTTGTTGTTGTTAAAGAACCTTTCACTCTGAAACCTAAACTGGATTAAAACGAAATAAAAACAGAAGCTAAAGAAAATGAAAACCCTGTAACTCTATTCTTCACATCTCTGGTATGGAATAGTTGGTTAAGTTAAGGAAAAGATTCAAATAGACTCGAACATAATGCTGACCACAGGTTTGAAAGCAAATGTCTCACATGATCACAAATGAGCCACAGTCTCTTTACTGGCTGTTTGTGCCATGATTAGTAGCACTGCCCGACACATCGCAGTGGTCTGCCACAAGAAACACACTGCAAAGACCCACATCACTGCCAGGTGAGAGCAGAAGAGATGAGAAAGCCGAGCATTGTTAATGCAGCTAAACCTGTGACTCTGCAGAGGTTGTTTCAGAGTTAATGTGTGGAGCAGACTTCATCCACGTGTGCCGGCAGAGTCTCAGAGATAATCTTATGGCTCCCTACAGGTATGTAATGTCCCTGTTAGGTAAGCCACGAGCTTGTGGGCGGCTCTGCTACATAATAAACAACCTCTTTCTGAATTTGGGAGCTGAACTCTCTCTCTGAGCGAGGCTTCCTGTTAACAGGTGCTCAGGCAGATCTGAAACGCCAACAGCTCCAATCTGCTGCGTGCAACTGAGAGCCAATTCATCTCTGAAGAAGTAGATTCTTGGAAAACATGCACACTTGTGTCAGGAATGACAGGAGATTGCATAATCGTGAGCTGTGCAGAGGCGCAGTCTGATTTTACCCGAGCAACACAGGAGGATTTCTATTATATCAGGAATGCTCCCGAGAGTGAACGAAGCTCTGTGGAGCTGTGGGATACAAAATGTCATTTTGGGGGGGGGTAATCTTTTTTTTCTGATGACGCCATGGCAACAGCCTCCTTGATGTCATGATGAGCATCACCTTCAACCACGACCAGCAGCTGCTTCTTATACACAAATGTTTGTGCTGTGGTTTCACAGACACTCCCACTGTCTCGTTAGATTTTTTATTTTAACGAGGTACAACAGCTGTCTCCTTTTGTAAATCCTTAATGGACCAATCGGTATGCATTAGCATGAGTTATCTTCTAATGCTGCTGAGGAAGGACTGCTCAGTGACATTTGACAGACTAAAGTTAAAGCAGTTAAAGCTTACATGTTATGGCCCTCATTTATTTTAGCGTCTTTGAGCAAATGTGATGCTGGGGTATGAAATTCAAGTACACTAATATTTTGCTTATTTAGATGTTGCATGAAATTGCTGGGCAGGTTAACTATACTGGTTGGTGGTACTGTGGTAATGTTTAGTAATGCACTCTGTGGGACTGGTGCAGAGCAGCTGTGGTGTTCATGGTCAGTGTAAGGCTATATCACTGAGAGCACAA